AATTACATACATTCACTGGATTACTTGACAGTGATTTTCAATGCCAACAAATCCGAATACACAATCGAATATTCGAGTGAGGAAAAAATGAATCAATAATATATGAGACAATTCCATGTTTCTATTGGCATTTGATAATCACCAATCCGAAACATAACATATACTGTCTTCTAAATCGTTATCATTCGAAATGTAACGATTCTGATCAACTTGAACAACAGCAAGACGAAGATGATGATTGAATTTTATTGATATTTCAAATAAATTTTTCTTATGTTTTTTTCTAGATAATAAATTTTTCTTTTCCTTTAAATCTTATTAACTTTGGCAGTACAAAATTATTTAATCTAATCGGAAAATAATAAAACAATTGATTGAAAATTGTATAAATTTGTCAATGTTTTCCATATAATTGAGTCACTTAAACACTACAATTTATTAATAAAATATTGAATCAAATTTTATTAATAAACTCTATATACTTTAAACAAAACAAAAAATGTACAAAAAACCTGCGATTGATTTTGTACAAATGTCGGAGATGATAAAAACCCGACAAGATGGCTGTGTCGATTATGTTACAAATAAAATTTTTTATGATTGCGAGATACATTTCAAGCACAAGTCTGATTACTGGCCAGAAGAATTCTGGCCCACAATTCCGTATCACGACTGGCCCAAAGATGGGTCGGATTTTGCAATTGTGGTTGGAATACCACAACAACAGCAGCAAACACAATATCATTCCATTCCAATGGATCGTGTTGATTTCATTAATTCAATGGATGAACAATCACTCATAATCAATGTGACAGAATATCAATACAAATTTCAATTCACGAGTCCTGAAACTGCTCGTTTTTTGTGTGAATTGATATATATGAAAATCCCATGTTTTTATTGGGATACAATCATCACTAATGTTGATAAAAATATTTTCTGTCTATTGAACAGAAATTTTTCCAAACCGATTAACGAAGAAGAATTGAACGATGATGATGATGATGATGATGATAAAATCTTAACATTTCTGCCACCACCATATCCAATAATTGGTGGGCAATCCTCATCGAAATCAACAACAACTTATTCAACTCCCGAAATCCCGATGATTCCGATACCGCAACCTGCACCAGTAATCGAGAATATTGATTACAACAATGAAACAACTGATCAACAACAAGATGACGATCTGGGATTTTGGGATGAGGAGGAACTGAATGAGATAGTTTACGGCGACGATTTTTGATTTTCTTCTATTTTTCTTTTTTCTATATTTCATAATAAATTTTCTTTTCAAAAATGCATTTTCAATACAAAATTTTCTTGCAATGCATGTATTCTGAATGTGAAATTCAATTTATTCATTCCAAATGTAACGATTTTAATCAACTTGAACAACAGGAAGACGATGATGATTGAAACAAGAATTTCATTCATCTTTCCGCTCCAAAAATAAACAAATGGGTTGACAAAAAAATTTGACCATGAATAAGTTTGGAATTAGGGTCATTTTTAAATATAAAAGCGCGCATATAAAAGCACAAAAAACAGCGCGACTGACAAGCAAGGGCTTCACATATATGTTTTTAAAATATCATTCTTTGTTGTATTGGTTTTTATTTGTTGTTAATTAAATAAATTATTCGTAAATCTTCGTTTTTTGTGTTTATTGGTGGTCATTGCATCAATTAAATTTAGATTGATTAATCAAATTTATTTTTAAAAATTACTTAATTCAAACGGAAAATATTGAAACAATTGATTATAAATTGTATATATTTGATAATATTTTCCTTAAGATCAAATAACTTTAAAAATACAATACTGATTGAATCAAAGTATTAATTGAATCAAAGTTTCAAAAAAAACTATTAAAAACTATACAAAAACAAAGATGAATAACCAACAACCTTTCGATATTGTACGAGTATGGCAAAAAATAAAAGACCCAATTAATAAGGAATATCAAATAACTAATGAATGGAATGCATGTCCATTCCACTTGATGCATACTTCTGACTACTGGCCAGAAGACCAACGGCGCCATGCGGCCTGGCATCTATGGCCGAAAGATGCATCTGATTATGCTTTAGTATTCGGAATAAAGAAGCAACAATTTCAATATCTTAGCTACGAATCGATTTCATTGGATAAAATCAATTACATACATTCACTGGATTACTTGACAGTGATTTTCAATGCCAACAAATTCGAATACACAATCGAATTTTCTAGTGAAGAAAAAATGAAATCAATAATAAATAAAATATATGAGAAAATTCCATGTTTCTATTGGGATATGATAATCACCAATCCGAAACATAACATATACTGTCTTCTAAATCGTTATCATTCGAAATGTAACGATTCTGATCAACAGGAAGACGAAGATGATGATTGAATTTTATTAATATTTCAAATAAATTTTTCTTATGTTTTTTTCTGAATATTATTTTTTTTTCTCTTTTGTTCTTGTTATTTTTACCCTTATTTTTTGAGGTATAATGGTTTTTGTATTTGACACGAAATCTATGAATAGTGTTTGTGATTTGTGATCCTGAAACTAAAGCTGTATTCACATGTTTTTCTGATCATATAAAATGCGTTGTATTTGTTATGATAGAATGATTTTTAATTTTGAAATAAAATTATTTTTTTTATCAGTATTAAAAAAAAGAATATTAATTTTTTCTTTTTCTTTAAACAATCAGTTATAATTAATATCACAGAATACCAATACATATTTCAATTCACAAGTCCTGAAACTGCTCGTTTTTTGTGTGAATTGATATATATGAAAATTCCATGTTTTTATTGGGATACAATCATCACAAATATTGATAAAAATATTCAACAAGATGACGATCTGGGATTTTGGGATGAGGAGGAACTGGATGAAATAGTTTATGGCGATGATTTTTGATTTTCTTCTATATTTCTTATCTTTTTTCTATATTTCATATTAAAATTTTCTTTTCAAAAATGCATTTTTAATACAAAATTTTCTTGCAATGCATGTACTCTGAATGTCAAATTCATTTTATTCATCAAATATTGCCTACTAAATCGTTATCATTCAAAATGCAATGATTTAATCAATATGAACAACAGGAAGAAGATAAAATATTTTTTCATTGTTCAATTGTTTCATTTTTGATGTTTTTTTCTCTCTTTCACTTGATTTAAATAAAAATCATGTTTTTGTAATTATTTTTGTATGAATTTTCAATCCTATTTAATGGTATTGGATTCTTTTCTTTGTTAATAAAAAAACAGGAAGATGAAGATAAAACAATAAAAATAAGTAAATTGTTTTTTCATCTTTAAAATAAACAAATTCCATCAATTAAATTGAAATTAATTATTCAAATGAATAACAACAATTTATAGAAATTTTATAAAATAAAATAAATTTGATTTTTTTCAAATTAATAAAAATTCTTAATCTAATCGGAAAATATTGAAAGAATTGATTGAAAAATTGTATAAATTTGGCAATTTTTTCCTTGAGAACAACTCACTTTACACACGATACCAATCTTATTCAAAATTGAATCTAAATATTATTCAATATTGAATCTAAATCTTCATTACAAATTAAACAAAATAAGCAAAACAGAAATGGAAATGCAAAACAAACAGCATTTCGACGTGGTTACAGTATGGGAAATGAAAAAAATCCCAGGTGAAGGTGGTTACCAGGCCACAAATACATGGAATAATTGCCCGATATATTTCACGCATATATCGGATTTTTGGACTGACGAACAACGACAATTTGTTGCTCGTCATCGATGGCCTACTGATGGCTCTGACTATGCCATCGTCATTGGAATTCCGCAACAATTCCAACAATATATCTACAAAAGCATCCCGATGAATGAAGTAAATTATATTCATTCAATCGACCATCGAACTATCATTATAAACACACTGAAATTCGAATGTGCAATCGAAATTTCAGATAGTTATAAAATGGCATCCATATTTTATACTTTATATGGAAAAATCCCGTGCTTTTATTGGGATTTAATAATTACCAATCCAAATATCAATAGTTTCTGTTTATTGAATAGAAACTATTCACGATTGAACAATGAACCTGAACCTGAACAAGATGATGATGACGACGATAATAACAATTCTACCATTCGATTGCCACCACCATCAATTCCAACAATTGATGGACAGTCTACATCGGCATCTACAACATATTCGATGCCACCACCAACAACAGAAATGAATGATCTGATTGAACAAACAGAAATCATGATCATAGATGATGGTCAAAACGATGGCCAATTCTGGGATGAGGAAGAATTGGATGAAATTGTATTTGGCGATGATTTTTAATTTTTTTAAATTTTTCTATTATTTTCTAATAAATTTTCTTTAAAAAATTTTAAATTTTTGGAATATTTCTTTTACGCCTAGACTGTTATCCTTATCTTATCTTATCTTGAGTAACGAATCATTTTCTCTTAAAAATTGAAATAAAATTGTACGAGTTGCGCAAACGAAAAAAAAGTTGTGATAATGTTTTATCTTATCAAACACGTGCTATTTTTGTTGTAACTTTAGCAGTACAAAAAAATATAATAAATCAATTTTTGTCCAAAAATATTTCAATTTCAATAACGGTTCGGATTCCTGATAGCTGTGGTGAAGAAAAAACAAACATGCGAAAAATCTTAGCTCAGAAATATCAAACTAAATTGAATTGAACACATTATCCAAACAAAATTAACAAAAAATTAAATTTTTTACTAATTAAAATCAACAACTACAAACAATAATAATTAGCTGAATGATTAAAGAATTTAGCTACAAAATTATTCTTATAATTTAATTAATTAATTTAAAAAATTGTATAAATTTGTTGATGTTTTCCTAAATATCAAATGACTGAAGTACAATACCAAAACTGAATAATTATTGAATCCGAATTCTCTAAAAAAAGCAAATCAATAAAAAATGAATAACTTTCCATACTTGGATATTGTGAAATTTGGCGTAAAGATTCGCGTGTCCAATTTCTCATATGAACCAACAGTGGCATGGACAGATTGTCCATTTTACCTGGTGCACCAATCAGATTTTTGGTCACCAAAAGATCGCTTACATATCCGATGGCATATATGGCCACGGGATGCCTCCGATTTCGCTATTGTTATCGGATTAAAAAATAGATATAATCAAATGAATTTCAAAAGTATTTTTATGAATGAAGTGGATTACATTCATACATGTGATCCACTTACAATCAAAGTAAATGCAGTCAAATACGAATATCTCTTTGAATTTTCTGAAGTCAAGCATGTAGCAACATTGTTTGATTTGATTTATAAAAAAATCCCATGTTTCAATTGGGATCTTATAATCACCAATTTCAGATTGAATAATTTTTGCTTGCTCAATATCAATTATTCGAGAATTAATCAATCAAATGATAATGGAGAAGATGATGAAGAAAGCGAAATAAATGCTATTCAATTTATACCACCACCAATAAAAAGAATCGGTGGTCAATCATCATCAAAATATCACTAATATGGCTGAATTGTTTTTCTTTCTAAATTTTTCTCTTATATTTTAATAAATATTTTCTTCAATTCAAACTTTTAACAGGAATAATAATATAGAATCTTATGATGATGATGATGATCAAGATGATCTCATTCATTTGCCACCAATCAATAAGAATTGGTGGCCAATCAGCATCGAATTGTTGAGTTTTTTATACTTTTTTTTATATATTTTTGACCCGAAGTCTATGAATGGTGATGGTGCTGTGTGACCATGAAACTGTAGTTGTAATCGCGTGTGGTTTTCGGTTATAAAAAGAGATGTATTTGTTATGATTGGATGTTCTTTAATTTTGAATAAAATTATCCTTTTTCGTTAATTTTAATAAATTTCTTTTAAATTCAATTTTAAAAATGTGATTAAATTGTTTGATCGTATGTTGCAAAAAATAATTATTCATATAATTCAATCAATTAATTAATGCTTTAGCCGTTGTTCAATTCGGCGAGAAAGTTAGTATCAAAAACAAAGAATATCAACCTACAAATGCATGGACTGAATGTCCATTTTACTTTATCTACGAATCTGATCTATGGCCACAACATCAGCGTCATCATTTCATAAATTTCATTCATACTTGTGATCCGTTGACAGTCAAGTTAAATGCTGTACAATTCGAATTCGTATTAGAATTCACCAATGTTCAAAAAGTGATATCATTATTTGATATTATCTATCGTAAAATCCTATGTTTTAATTAGGATATGATCATTACAAATAGCAATTTGGAAAATTATTGCCTGTTAAATATTAATTATTCAAAAATTCAAACCAATGATTCATTTTATTCATGAATCAGAANTATGTACCGCCATCAACACCAAGAATTGATGGTCAATCCACTTCTAAATCAAATTTTTAAAATTTTCATTTTCATTTTTTATGTTATAATAAATTTTATTCAAAATTCAATTTTTCTTTCAATCGACCGTGAAACAATTTTGTATTTCATCTTATGAACGAATTAATTTTATTCATGAATCAGAACTAACGATATCATTTTAGATTGGCGCATCTTTGGCCAAAAGATGGCTCGGATTACGTCATAGCAATTAGGATCAAACATTTTTGAAAAAATCGTTATTGGCTATTGAATTCCAATCTTTTCAAACCAGTTAATGTTCCTCAACAGAAATCTGAAGAACAAAAAAGAGGAAGAATTTGATGAATGGCTTATACCGTTACAACCGCAAAGGCCATCAAAACCACAAGTCGAAATCAAACAAACTATAGCTAAAAATATGAACCTTGAAATCGCTAAAGCAGGTCCATCGATGATGATGATCCAGATTTCTTTTATGACTTAGATGAACTTGATGGAGTCACATTTGAATGATCAATTCATTAATGATAATGAAGAAGAGTACGAAAACAATTAACCCCACCTGAGCCATTTTTACAAGAGTCAGGTGAAGACAATGGAACAACAAAATTAATTTCAATCAATAATATTTGTAAATAACTGTGAATTTGTATTTTAAAAAATTGAATTGAAAAAATAAAATTAGTTTTGTTTATTTAAATTAATTAATCAATTAATGATAATCAAATTTGCATCGCACAAATGCCTTCGGGCAGTGTGTGTTCAATAAAATTTATTATTATTATTATAATCAAATTTGCAAATTTCCCTGTATAAATAGGCAATGCTTTTGCTGATGTTTAAATCAATTTTACTCTACGTTTTGCCTAGTTTATCAACATTGAATAAACTTCGAAAAACTCTAATTCTAGTATCGAAAGACTATAAACACAAATATTTTTTCAAAAAATTCTATAAAGAATGAATCAAATACAACCATTGGATGTGGTGAAACTTGGGGAAAAAATTCGTATCCCCAATGGCGAATATATACCAACAAATGCATGGACTGGATGTCCATTGTATTTTATCCACACATCGGATTTATGGCCGCAAAGTCAACGCCATCATTTAGATTGGCATGTATGGCCAAAAGACGGTTCAGACTATGCAATTGCAATTGGATTTAAANGTATCGAAAGACTATAAACACAAATATTTTTTCAAAAAATTCTATAAAGAATGAATCAAATACAACCATTGGATGTGGTGAAACTTGGGGAAAAAATTCGTATCCCCAATGGTGATTATACACCAACAAATGCATGGACTGGATGTCCATTGTATTTTATTCACACATCGGATTTATGGCCGCAAAGTCAACGCCATCATTTAGATTGGCATGTATGGCCAAAAGACGGTTCCGACTATGCAATTGCAATTGGATTTAAACAAAACTTCAATAATTATGCTTATCAATCCATTGCAATGAATGAAATAAATTTCATTCACACACTGGAACCCACTATAATTCGGATAAATGTTATCAAATCCGAATTTTCGATTGAATTTTCCAATGTAGATAATGTAATAACATTGTTTGATACAATCTACAGGAAAATTCCTTGCTTTAATTGGGATTGGATAATTAGTAATCCAATTACCAATCAATATTGTCTATTGAATATTAATTATTCAAGAAATATTGAATACCAACAACAAAACCAAGATGATGAAGATGATGATGATGAAATTCGCACATATATTCCGCCACCAATGAAAAGAATTGATGGCCAATCAACTTCTAAATCAAATTTTTAAATTTTTTTTAATATTTCAATAAATTTTTATTTTTAAAAAACTTAATTTTTTTAAATTTAATTTTCTGGAATTTTAAATTCAAATCCGAAGCCATACTGAAGCTATCCTGTAATATTCCACACTGTCAAAAAAAGTACGGGCACCAACCTCGAGCATGCTATTTTGTTAGATTTTAATGTGCCTTATATTAATGAAACAAAAATTCAATAAAAATTCCACAAACATGCTTTTCCAAAACACGTGCGATTAAATTTTAGGCCAGAAGAATTCTAGCATACGATTGCATTTCAAATTATGCAATTAAGTGATTACAATTTCACAAAATTAGTGACCCATTGAATAAAATTGATTTCATTTATTTGATGGATTAATCAAAATCAACATCAATCAATATGAATATCAGATATAATTTTCTATTTCCTGTAATGAATGAAATCCCTGTTCGAGCGACATCTAGCTACAATATTGTAAAGGTTATTATTCAATTTCTGTTTAATTTTTTTTCAATTAATTAGTTAATTAATTAATGATATTCATATTTACGAATTTTCCCTGTATAAATTTAGCCATGTTTTCCTTAAAATTGAAACAATTTTTCAAACGCTAGAAATTCATAGAATTGAATCCTTATAATTCAAAAAAACTACAAAAAATCAAAAAATGCAAAACTACAACAAATGGGATGTAGTCCAATTTTATGGCAAGAATTTGAAGCCATCCGAGAATTTGGCGCCAGATTTTTTATGCACGGAATGTGATTTGCATTTCATGCATTTATCAGAATTTTGGCCAGTTGAAAAATGGCATAAAATTCTCAATCACAACTGGCCATCTGATGGATCGGATTTTGTGTTCATGATTAGAATTAATCAACAAAATCGCTACCAATATAAATCGATTCGTTTGGATGAAATAAGCTATCTTCATTCAATCAATGATCACACGATTATTTTCGAATTGAATGACAAACACCCATATGAATATAGCATGAAATTTACTGACGGAAACAAAGTACGACGATTATTGAAGACAATTTTTAAAGAAATCCCATGTTTTAATTGGGATTTAATTATCACTAATTCCGATCATGACAGTTACTGTCTATTAAATCGGAATCATTCAAAACTGAACAACAGTTCGGTTG